CCCTAAACCCTATACCCTGAACCCTGCACCCTGAACCCGACACCTTGAACCCTGAACCCTACACCCTGAACCCTAAACCCTACACCCTGAACCCTAAACCCTAAACCCTAAACCCTACAACCTGAACCCAGGGGGTTTCCAGGTGACTGGGTGGAGCTCGACGGACCCTCGCCGCTGGCGGACGCCGTCGCGGAGTGGCTGGGGGAGGTCGGCTTCGGCAGAGTCGGGGCAGCTTTGGGTTGCTTTACGGGTTCTTTAGTTGGGGGGTGCTGGTAGGGTCTAGGGTTTAGGGTTTGGGGGTTGGAGGTTCCTTGAGGGTTTAGGGGTTTAGGGGTTAGGGGTTTAGGAGTTTAGGGTTTAGGGGTTTAGAGGTTAAGGATTTAGGGGTTTAGGGTTTAGGGGTTTGGGGATTAAGGGTTCAGGGGTTTAGGGTTCAGAGGTTTACGGTTTAAGTGTCTCGGTTTTAGGATTTGGGGGGTTTCAGGTTTAGGGTTCAGGGGGTTTAGAGTTCTAGGGTGACTAGACGAGCACAGAGTTTTGGGGATGCGAGGACTTGGATTTTCGGGCTTAATAATTCACGGAGTGTAGGGTTTAGCAGTTAGGGTTTGGGACTTGCGGCTTAGGGTTTGGGGTCGAGAAGTTTGGATTGTCAGGGTGTAGTGTTCTTAGGGTTTTGGGTTTGAGATCGAGGACTGGATTCTTATTAAAGGAGACTGCAGGTGGGGAGTTTAGGGTATATACGGCTTCCAAATGTCCTAGATTTTGGGTTTGAGATCGAGGACTGGATCCTAAAGGTCTTGGGTTTAGGGTTCGAGGGGTCCAGGGCTCTGATTCTTACGGTTTTAAAGCTCCTCGCAAGGGCTTGCGTCCGTCCGTCTTTTTTTTTCGAAGGGCTTCTGATGCGTCAGGGCCCCTAAACTCTAAACCCGAAACCCTAAACCCAAAACCCATGCGAAAGAAAGGGGCTACTGCATAAAAAAAAGAAACCAAAAACCCAAAACCCTAAACCCTGAACCCTAAGCCATAGCTTTAGGGTTCAGGGTTGCGGGTTTAGGGCTTTAGAGCTTTGGAACTTTCAGGTTCAGGGCTTTGGGCTTCGGGTTTTAGGGCTTCAGGTGTTGCAGGGTCTGAACTCAAAAGCAGCCCCAAGGGAGCCCACCTCCCGCTTAAGTAAGACCCGAGGGTTTCGGGTTTAGGGTCTAGACCTTCAATCAGAATATAAGACCCCATTTTTCGTATTTTGTCGTACTTCAATCGAAGATCAAAGCCCCACCTTTTTTAGTACAGTTTAGTATGGTAATGTTGATAGGGTCTGCAAGGTCTCGAGTGTGAGACCGCGCCGAGCCGACTGCTAGCTCTGAGCATGCCTGCACGGATTCGCCAGGCACCCGCTTGGTGGAAGCTTCGGACAACCTACGGTTTAGGGTTTCGGGTTTAGGGTGTAGGGTTTAGGATTTGGGGCCTAGGGGTTTAGGGTTTAGGGTTTAGGTTTATGCCGACAAGCACTTTGCCCAGAGACTCTCTGACGTCGTAGCTGCGCTGGCTGCGCATTGCAGTTACATCACACAGCAGGGGGTGCCGCCCGAAAGATGGAGCGCTTTGGAGACGTATGATTCGGCTCCGCACCGACGGTTCTCCGAATCCAGATGCAGAAGATTACGAGGGAAGCAGAGCACAGGTGACGCTTTTGAGTGGTTTCAGCGACGAGTTTTTCTTGTGCCGTGTTGCTTGACTTTCGCTTGCAGAATTTTGATTCGACAACCCGGCTATTGCTTCTTACCCCTAGACATTACGAGAGAGTGGTTTATATTTGGCATTTAGGTTTAAGGGTTTAGCGCCGTAACTATATGGTATAACCTGATTGTATCTGCAGGTAAACCTTGCAGAATCCAGCTTGTCGGCCTAAATTCAGAATCCAACATATCGGTTAATATGACGGCGACCCAACTCCCAATCTGGAACTTAACTTAGACGAGCCTAGTAGACCCGAATTTGGAGGTCTAAATAATTTGGCAACAATGTTCCCTCTTCGTCCCTATCTCGTACTAACTTACCCCCAAACCCCACTCTATTCAATACGGCCAATTTTGATTGGGTCTTAAGTGGGCCCGTAATGCCCTAAACCCGAAAGCCTAAACCCCCTGGCAGGATGCGGCAAACTTCAAGCCTCCACAGCACACGCTGTCTTTCGACACGTCGGGGGACCTAGGGCTGTGTAGGGTTTAGGGCTCAGGGTTCAGGGTCAATTTGAGCGGTTTAGCGTTAGGGTTTAGGGTTTAGGGTTTTAGGGTTTAGGGGTTGGAGATTCATAGGCTGTTAAAATAATTAAAGCTGTAGAAATCTGGTGGTGGTGGAGCCCGCAGCTTTACAAGCGCCGTGCTGTGCTTTAAATCCACCGTCGCATCGTTCATAAGGCCTAAGCCCTATACCCCAAACCCGAAACCGGAAACCCCAGACCCCAAACCCTAAACCCCTGCCCGATCCTTCTGTGGCGTCTTCATGTGTAGCAACCCTTGCGGGGTATAGGGTAAAGGGATCAGAGTTTGATTCCAAGGGTTTTGGGGGTTTAGGGATCGAGGTTGGGGCTTTGGGGCTTTGGTCTTGGCATTTGTTCTCTTGATGAGTCTAGGACATTTTCAGGTGGGGAGTTACAGTTATGGGAGCCTTATATAGAAGGTCTATGTACCTTCTAGAAGCCTTATAGAAGCTCTATATACCCTAAACTTTTCACCTGTAGTTTCCTGGATATGAGGGGGTGAGCCTGCAGATGATGCTCTTGCGCTTTCCATGGTTTGCAGCTCAAACGCTGCATGAGGGTTTAGGGTTTAGGGTTTACTTAGAGGATCATGGGACTTCGTAACAGGGGTTATCAAGTTATAACTCAGGCAACTAATTGTTTTCAATTACTTCAAGCCCGAATTCAAAGATTTATATCCTTACTATATCCGTACTTGGTCCCATAATCCCCCAGGGTAGACCCTACACCCTAAACCCCACTTGAGGTACAAATATCCTTACTAAGTCCCATGATCCTCCGAGTAGGGATGTCTAGGGGACCTAGCAGCCCTTCGTTCCCTGTCAGACCTTCAACCTTCCCAAAATCCTTCATGGAGTTAACCATGGTTAGGGTTTAGGGTTTAGGGTTTAGGGTTCAGGGTTTAGGGTTTAGGGTTTTGGGGTTTACAGTCGGGCTTAAGCCCTTAACGGTAGACCCTGCGCCCTTAATTTTCGAGAAAGCCCCAACTAAGGGCTTGTGGGTTGGTCTCCTGCCCGCATGCACTCCACCCAGCGTTTGGGGTAAGGTTCAGGGATGATGCGGTTTCGGGGTGTAGGGACGTCCACTTACCCATGTAGTCGGTGGCGGTTCTATGGCGTTTGTTTAAAGGACAGCAAGCTGCTGCGTGAAATCTGAAGGTTGGGCAATCTCAGACCCCAAAGGGGTCTTCCTGGCTTGAAGGCTTAAGGTTTAGAGTTTAAGGTTCAAGGTTGAGGGTTTCGAAAAGAGATCTCAGTTCCTCCCAAGAAAAGAACCCTGGACCCCTTAGGGTGGAAAGCCTCCCTAAACCCTAAACCCTAAACCCTAAACCCTAAACCCTAAACCCTAAACCCTAACCCTAAACCCTAAAGGGTGGAAAGCCTCCTAGTGGCGCACGAGGCTGCGAAACCTGCTTCTGCGGGCCGGTCGCTGGATCGAGGCCTTTCCTTTGGCGGTCTTTCGGTTTAGGGTTTAGGGTTTAGGGGTTTAGGGGTTTAGGGTTTAGGGTTTAGGGTTTAGGGTTTAGGGGTTTAGGGGTTTAGGGTTTAGGGTTTAGGGTTTATGTTGTTCCTTAGGAGTTGTCTGCCTAAACCTTGAACACCTACCTTAAGAACCCAAAACCCACCTTTTTTGGAGGTTCTTGTTATAAACCCTAATATGGGATTTATAGGGACCCTACAAAAAAGTAGGTTTTGGGTTCTTAAGGTAGTCACTCAAAACCCTGAACCCTAGACCCCGAGACACTGGCAGGTTTCTTACACTTTCAAAGCATTTGAGTTTAGGGTTTAGGGTTTAGGGTTTAGGGTATCCAAGCGGCATATTGCTTCAATTGGATTCTTAGGCTTATTATCTGTTCTATCAGGGTCGTATAGGGGTTCTTCATGAGTTGTAAAAGGGTTCTTTACTAAAGGGTCGCACAAGGATTTACTCAGGGTTCTGGAGTGTAAAACGAGTCGACGTGTTTTGGAAGAGTTCTACTGGTGTTCTATGAGGGTTCTAGAGGGGTTTCGTCAGGTTTTATGAATGTAGGAACCTGACTAAGGAAACCCTGTCCCGATAACCCCAAAATAGTAGGATCCAGATAAAGAGCCCCTAATAAAGACCCAGGGTTTCTTTATCAGGAAATTGGGGAGCTGTTGAGATCCTATAAGGATTCAAGAGCGGTTGTACAACAGATTTAGGGTTTAGGGTTTAGGGGTTCTGTTGTTATGGATTTATAAAGGCTAGTTTTGCTCACGATTGAAGGGTTGAGGGTTTTGGCTCACGGTTTTAACAGGGCTCAAGTGTGTATTCTGGTGTACTCAGGGTCTGATAGTGCAGCTGTAACTCTACCGGAAAAGGAGACGCGGGCTGAGAATTCATAGCTAAAAAAGCATTCAAAGCGACTTACTGACCAATATCGTGCCGCTGTCTAAATGAGCACTCTAAGTATCTAGACGTTTTTGTTCAGGGGTTCGGGTAAGGTAGAAAAGCCATTTTCTCGGATGGTGTCAGTTTTAGGAAACCTTTCTCAGTGCGAAGGGTGAAGGCCCGCTGAGCATGCAGTTCCAGGAAGCGTTCTCGCCAGCAACCGCCTAAACGCTAAACCCTCTCTTTCATATAAAAGCCCTAATTGATTCGCCTTTTTGTTTTTTTTGCAAATTCAGGCTTTTTTCATGGCTTTTTAGCGTTTCTCTGCAAATGGTGGCTGCTTAGCGGTTTGTCTGCAAAGCTGAATTTCGCGTATAGGGTTTCGAATTGAATTTCGCGTATAGGGTTTCGGCCTAAATATCGTGTATAGGTTTTCGGCCTAAATTTCGCGTATGGGGTTTTGGCCTAAATTTCGCGTACAGGGTTTCGGCTCGGCCTAATTTTCGCGTATAGGGTTTCGGCTCGGCCTAAATTTCGCGTACGAGGTTTCGGCCTAAATTTCGCGTATAGGGGTTCGGCTTAAATTTTGCGTATAATGTTTTGGCCTAAATTTCGCGTATAGGGTTTCGGCCTAACTTTCGCGTACAGGGTGTCGGTCTAGATTGGGGCTTCGGGCTCAGGGTTCGGGCTTTGGTTATGCTTTTTGCTTGCGCAAGGCTCAACCCTAAGCCCTAAACCCTAAAGCCCTACACCCTAAACCCCTAAACCCCCACACTGCCCACACCCTAAACCCTAAACCCCTAAACCCCCACACCCTAAGCCCTAAACCCTTTAAGCTCTTACAGAACTTTGAGCCCCAAGAGCTGCCCAAGAAAAGGTCGACCGCGAGCAACCCCGGATCCGGCTAGCCCCGGCCTCCGTGGCGGCGCCCTCACTTCAGATGCTCACGCAGCCACTTGGGCCACCGTTTCTTCGGGTTTTCAGATTTTTTTTTTTCGGGCTTTCTGGGCTTTAGGGTGTAGGGTTTAGGGTTTAGGGTTTAGGGGCTTTCTGGGCTTAAGGGTTTCGGGGATTGGCGGCTCGTTGGGCTCTAAAGGGGTCTTGGCTTTTGTTTAGGGCTTGGAGGTTTAGGGTTTAGGGTTTAGGGTTTAGGGTTTAGGGTTTAGGGTTTAGGGTTTAGGGTTTAGGGTTTAGGGTTTAGGGTCATATTATGTCCTGGGCGTTGATAGTTTGGGAAGCGGGGTTTAGGGCTTCCAGGCTTATGGCTTATGCTTCGTGAAGACAGACCCTAAATCCTAAGCCCTGGACCCTAGACCCTAAGCCCTAAAGCCTCTACCCTAAACCCTAAACCCTAAACCCCCACATCCTAAACCCTAAACCCCTGAATCCTCCCTAAACCCTAAACCCTAAACCCTAAACCCTATACCCGAAACCTAAGGAAGCCCTATACCCTAAACCCAGGGAGCCCTTATCCCTTAACCCTAAACCCAGGGAGCCCTAAACCCTTAACCCAGGAAGCCTGCGCCACTTCCACCGCCGCCTCTGCCACCTCCCGCGCTTCCTTCGCCAACCAGCGATGGCTTCTTGGTGTTCTTCTGGCTGGCTCTGAGGACTTTAACTTTTTGGGTTTCTATATGAATTATACTAAGGAGGCTAAAATTTAACTTCTAGGAGGGATTCAGAAGTCAGCGATGGCTTCATGGCGGTACAAGCTCGGGGTTTCAGGCTTTAGGATGTACTTGAAGGGTTTAGGGTTTAGGGTTTAGGGTTTAGGGTTGTGTGTGGTAAGATTGTAGTAACCAGAGTTGGTTTGGGAGTTACGGTGTAGGGTTTAAAGGAGAATTCGGTGGAATGTTCCTTGAGCTTTCGGAGGGTCCTTCATGCACTTCAAAGGCCCATTCCTGAATTCAGGGGCCTAAAACCCTAAAGCCTTGAAACCCCAGAAACACTGAACCCCTAAAGCTGTAGACCCCCCTAAGCCGTACGACCCCAACACCTCACCGAACCCTCATGGCATCCTTTTCGTTTTGTTTTAGTTCCATACTCCCCAATACCTCAAAATTCTCATGAAAAGTATGAGACCCCTATAACACTCGACATACGACGTTTTGCCTATGTTCATAGTGCTTTTCTATAAAACCCGACGACCCCAACGCCTTCAAACCCTCACGAACCCTGCAAGACCCCTCCCAAACTCCAGTACACCAAAACCCGCATGACAAGCCTTAAACCGCAGTATCATTGTTCTATGCATGTCTTTATAACCCTAGTTACTAAGTCCCATGATCCTTCAGGTATGAGCTTCTAGTTGTATAGTGTCTGCAAGGACCGACAGCCTTGAATCCGCGGCCCCCCCCCCAATCCTCAAAGAGTGTGGAGGGCGTTGATACGCTCCGCAGTCGTTTAGGGTTTAGGGTCTAGGGTTTAGGGGCATAAACAAGGTTAACTGTACTGATGACTACTTATAGCCGTGATGCTGAGTCTCATGATCCTGCAACGAATGCTGCTTAATCACAGAAGATAGGATCTTTGTAGCGCGATTGGAAAGAGTTTCTAGCATTTTGTGGGGTTCATAGGTTTTTGGGGCTGCTACAGGTTCAGGCTTCAGGGCTTTTAAGTTTGGGGTGGTCGACATAACGGCATACGGAAGCTGACGCCCGAACCTTGAGCACTGAGCCCGAAAACCTGAATTGCAACCCGAAGCCCTTAGCCCCTATGCCCTGGTTGTCAGCTTTGAATAAGCCTCATACCCCTTCTATCAAGCCTAACCCCAAAGCCCTAAAGACTAAACCCTAAACCCTAAAGGCTAAACCCTAAAACCCTAAACCCTGAAGCCCTAGACCCTCTTGGGAATATAAGCTCTGAGCCCAAAAACCCGTAAGCCCTATAAACCCTAAGAGCTCTAAAACCGCAACTCTAAACCCTGAACCCTAAAACCCCAAAGCACTAAAACCCTAAGCCTAAATCACCCTGACAGCCCGAAAACCCTAAACACTAAAAGCCAAAAGCTCTGAACCCTAGAGCCCTAATAAAAGGCCCTAAAGCCCTAGACCCCACAAGCCCTAAATGCCCTGAAGCCCTAAGCCCCTAAACCCTAAAACCTAAATCCCCCGACATGATCCTAAACCCTAAACCCTAAACTCTAAACTCCAAACTCTAAACCCTAAACCCTGAACCCTCACCCCTAAACCCTAAACCCTAAACCCTAAATCCTAAACCCCCTAAGCCCTCGAGGCGAGAGTCAGAGATCTCCTGGCCCGTCCCCTGTGGATGAATCAGGCCAAGGTTGCTTTGGGTTCAGGGATTTAGGGTTTAGGGTTTAGGGTTTAAGGTTTAGGGGTTAGGGTTTAAGGTTTAAGGTTTAGGGTTCAGGGATTTAGGGTTTAGGGTTTAGGATGTAGGGTTTCAGGTTCATGGTTCAAGGGTTCAGGGTTCAGGGATTTAGGGTTTAGGGTTCAGGGATTTAGGGTTTGGGGATTAGGGTTCAGGGTTCAGGGATCTAGGGTTTATTGTTTCGGAATTAGGGTTTAGGGTTTCAGGACTGTTAGAGCTTATAGGGTTTAGGGTGTAGGGTTTAGGGATTAGGGTTGACCGTAAAGTGGTGCATAAGCGGAAGTATCGAGCGACGGTGCACTTTCGAGTATATCGTAGTTGGACGATTCGCCGCTGCAGCCCGACTGTGGCGGGCTCTTTCTTTTCTCTCTCCCACCCCTCGCCGGTTGAGGTGGTCAAACCACCCTAAACCCTAAATCCTAAACCCTAAACCCTAAACCCGAAGCCCTAAACCCTAAACCCTAAACCCGAAACCCTAAACCCTAAACCCTAACCAGAAACCCGAAACCCTAAACCCTAAACCCCGAAACCCTCCGTTTGCTTTTCCCAGGCGAGGTCGACAACCTGATCGACTTGCTGATGACGCTGGGCTTCTTTCGGCAAGATGTTTCTTTTGTAGTGGTTTAGGGCTTAGGGTTTAGGGGTTATGGTTTTGGGTTTAGGGTGTAGGGCTTCAGGGCTTCAGGGTTTTTTAGGACTTTGGGTATCTGGTTCGAAAGGTTTCATCTTCCGGTTTTTAGGGGCTTAGCAGTTGAACCCTAAACCCTAAACTCTAAACCCTAAAGCCTAAACCCTAAACCCTTAGCAGTTCATGTGGGTGCCTTGACGGATGGCGCATGTCGCTTCGTCAGGTTCCTTCAGTTCGTTAGTTCTCGAACTTAGGGTTGCTGTTTGGGTCCAAACAGTAGTACGGCACCCTTCTAAAAGGGACCTTACAAGGGATCCCCACTTAGAAAACCACCCTCAGGTTTAGGGTTTAGGGTTCATAGGATAACCCTAAACCCTAAACCCTAAACCCTAAACCCTAAACCCACCAAAGTGATTTGATTGCCGGTTTAGTGCTGCCAGTCGTTAAGCTCTACTTTGAAGGCTTGGAGGCAAGCGCCTCCCCGACTCCCCCGGCTCTGGTGCTACGGGCAAACTTTATGTTAAGAA